TTTTTGTGTGTGGCAGAGACTACTAATTGCCTCCCAATATACATTTTTGCCTTCTTCTTTAGTAATAGGAAACCTGACTTTTAGCTGGACACACTGTAATCCAGATGATAGATTACATTCCTCAGGTTCCCTAGTGACTAGGTATAATTAAATACATGACTATGTTTTAGCGAAATGAGAGATAAGTAAAAGTTCTGTAAATGAGTTTGGGAAGTTGCCTTAATGGGGGTAGTAGGATAACTTTTTCTTTCTGCTGCCTAAAATAAAGACATTTTGTTTATGCAAATATTCTTTGAGGCTTGTCACTGGTACCATACCTAGTCCTGATTCACTTTTTTTTTTTTTTTTTTTGAAATAGAGTCTCATTCTGTCACCCTGGCTGGAGTGCAGTGGCGCAATCTCGGCTCACTGTAACCTCTACCTCCCGGGTTCAAGTGCTTCTCCTGCCTCAGCCTCCTGAGTAGCTGGGATTACTGGTGCCCGCCATCACACCTGGCTAATTTTTGTATTTTTAGTAGTGACAGGATTTCACCATGTTGGCCAGGCTGGTCTCAAACTTCTGACCTCAAGTGATCTGCCCACCTTGGCCTCCCAAGGTGCTGGGATTACAAGCGTGAGCCACAGCACCCAGCCCTGATTTACTCTTGAGATGGAGTCTCGCTCTGTTGCCCAGGCTGGAGTGCAGTGGTGCGATTTCAGCTCACTGCAACCTCCGCTTCCCGGGTTCAAGCAATTCACCTGCCTCAGCCCTCCGAGTAGCTGGGATTATAGGCATGCACTACCACATCCAGCTAATTTTTGTATTTTAGTAGAGAGGGGGTTTCACATTGGCTAGGCTGGTCTTGAACTCCTGACTTCAAGTGATCCACCCACCTCGGCCTTCCAAAGTGGTGGGATTACAGGGGTAAGCCACTGCGCCCGGCCCCTGATTCACTCTTAAGTGAAGTTGAGTACCTACTCATGTATTTATTTATTTTATTTTTATTTTATTTTATTTTTGAGACAGAGTCTAGCTCTGTCACCCAGGCTGGAGAGCAGTGGCACGATCTTGGCTCACAGCAGTCTCCACTTCCCGGGTTCAAGTGATTTTCCTGATCTCAGATGATCTGCCCGTTTTGGCCTCCCAAACTGCTGGGATTACAAGCATGAGTCACCGTGCCCAGCCCTACTCATGTATTTAAGAACCATTTGTATTCCTTTTCTTTCTGCCCAGGATGGCCTCAAAATTCTGTGCTCAAGTGATTCTCCCATCTCAGTTTCTTGAGTAGCTGGGATGATAAGTGTGCACCACTGTACCTGGCTTGTATTCCTATATTTAGGTGAATGCTGTATTCATATAATTTCCTCATTTTACTGCTAAGTTATTGGTCTTTTTTGTATTGATTTGTATTGGTTCTTTATATATTCAATAATTAATTGTTTTCCTCATATTTGAGCAAATATTTTTGCATCTTATTTTATTTTATTTGAGACATGGTCTCGTTGTGTCGCCCAAGCTGGACTGCAGTGGCATGATCTCTGCTTACTGCAATTTGCGCCTCCTGGGTTCAAGCGATTCTCCTGCCTCAGCCTCCCCCGTAGCTGAGATTACAGGCATGCACCACTATGCCTGGCTAATTTTTTTTTTTTTTGTATTTTTAGTGGAGACAGGGTTTCACCATCTTGGCTAGCTGGTCTCGAACTCCTGACCTCAGGCGATCCACCTGCCTCAGCCTCCCAAAGTGCTGGGATTACAGACGTGAGCCACCGCGCCCAGCCTTTTGCATCTTATTTTGCTGTGCATAAATTTTTATTTTTATGTCTGATTATTTAAATTTACAAACAAGCCAGGTGCCATGGCTCATGCCTGCAATCCCAACACGTTGGGAGGCTGAGGTAGGGGGATCACTTGAGGCCAGGAGTTTGAGACCAGCCTGGGCAACAAAGTGAGACCCCCATCCCTACAAAAAATAAAAAAATTCGCTGGGTAGGTGGCACACACTTCTGGTCCCAGCTATAAGGGAGGCTGAGGCAGGAAGATCCCTTGAGCCAGGAGGTCAAGGTTGCAGTGAGCCATGATCATGCCACTGCACACCAGACTGGGTGACAGAGTGAGACCCTGTCTATTAAAAAAAAAAAAAAAAAGCAAACAGCAGGCAATATTTTTTTCAGATCTTCTGCTTTAATACTGACAATATTGAACTTTACCTGAGCTCTGCGATTCTGGAAAATAAGGATGGCCAAAAAATCTCCCCATCCAAGCCTGCAGTCCCAGCTACTAAAGGAGGCTGAGGTAGGAGGATCACTTGAGCCCAGGAGTTAGGAGTTGGAGTCTAGCCTGGGCAACATAATTTGTTTCAATCTCTAGAAACAAACAAAAAATCTCCCTACAGTTTTATGTCTAGGAAATAATTTATTATTTTGGAAGCGATGTGGAACCAACTTTTCCCACATCAGTTAGGTAAGGTTTACGGATGGCTCCCTTGTTTATCTGACAAAGCCAGACACAGACCCTCCAAATTCCCATTCTTTGTCTCATAAGTGATTAGCTGAACTGCTCACTGCCACTGACCAATCTGGACAAAATATCTACTAACTTGACCAAACTTTAGCCAGGATTTAGCCCTCCCCATAGGCCCTAGAACCTTGACCTATTCTTGGGCTTAAGTAAGCATTGGTATGCTGAACAACCTTTAGGAAAAGATGTTCCCTGATCTAATCAGCTGTCTAATCAGATTATCCCAACTCTTCATCTTACTTCCCCATAACCCAATTTGTTCTACCCTTTTATTCCTTGCTAACAAAGAAAACTTTTTCGCTTAATGTTTGAGATATAAATCTTATGACTTGAGCATTTTCCCTATTGCAATAGTCTTTTCAAATAAAGTGTCTTCTTACCTAATTCCAGATTTGCTTTTTTATTTGACAATACCAACCTTCAGTGCTTCCTGGAGCTTGCATAATTTACTTTCCAAAATGCAAAACTGTTGTTTTAGACTGTAAAGTTCTCGGTGGTAGATACGAGATGGAAAGATGGTGTCTTTCAATACTTCTAAACTCTGAAATTAATAATAAACAATTCTGAGTCCTATGAGTAATATGATAAGGACAAGAAAACAGGAACCAGAAAGTGACTTGATGTATGTTTTATAGCAGCAAAGGCAGGCATGACTCAATAATTTCATCTTATCTGAGTTTAGCTTGAGGGTTGGACTGACTTGAGCATATATGTATATAAACACCAAGTGTGTAGAAGAACTATAGTGCTGAAAACAGGGATGTCACATCCATACCTGGGTTATGCAGTTCTGGCACCAGCTGTATATAGACCACACTCTATTTGTCCAAAGTTCTATTGCATCTCTGATGTTAGGAAATTTGAAGTTCCAGGATGATCTTACCCAGCTTCTGCTTTGAGATATATCTATTGAAGAAATAATGACTCTGTAGGAAAAACAAAATGAAACAAACAAAAACCCCTAAGTCAGAATAATAGCCTTGGCCTGGCGTGGTGGCTCGTGCCTCTAATCCTAGCACTTTGGGAGGCTGAGGTGAGCAGATTGCTTGAGACCAGGAGTTCGAGACTAGCCTCGGCAACATGGCGAAACCCTGTCCCTATCAAAAAAATACAAAATTGAACCAGGCATGGTGGTGTGCCAGAAGAGAGAGGAATATGCAAAGCAGGCATGAAGACGGGTTAAATCAGAGCTTTTCATTCCACAAGAGAAATTTTAATGGGGTCAGAACATTGATCTTCTAATATTTGAAAGCCTGCTAACTAGGAGAGAGATAGCAAACTGTTTTGTTGTAGGAGGACCCACCCAGCTCTGACGGGTTAAAGCATCATGAATGCAAATTTGAACTCCAGAAAAGCAGAGCTTCCTCGTTCAGTCTGTGCCTTTCCCATGAGCAAGAGACTCCTAGGAGAGCCGGAGCCCATTAGGAAACCGTGTGGGAACTTACTCACAGGTTCCTTATTTTTTTTGAGATGGAGTTTTGCTCTTGTTGCCCAGGCTGGAGTGCAATGATGTGATCTTGGCTCGCTGCAACCTCCGCACCCCGAGTTTAAGTGATTCTCCAGCCCCTCCTCCCGAGTAGCTGGGATTACAGGCACCTGCCACCATGCCTGGCTAATTTTTTGTATATTTAGTAGAGATGGCCAGTCTGGTCTCAAACTCCTGACCTCAAGTGATTCACCCTCTTTGGCCTCCCAAAGTGCTGGGATTATAGGCATGAGCCACTGAGCCCGGCCGGGAACCCACAGGTTTTTTGGATAGTCTCTGAATATCATGCAACTCTTTTATTTTTTATCCAAAAAAAAAAAAAAAATGTTTTTGACACAACGTCTTGCTGTGTTGCCCAGACTCGAGTGCAGTGGCAAGATCATAGCTCACTGCAGCTTCTAACTCCTGGGCTCAAGCGATCTTCCTGTCGCATGAGTCTCCCAAGTAGTTGGAACACAGGTGCCAGCCACCACACCTGTCTAATTTGGTTTGGTTTTGTTTTTTTAGAGATGGGGTCTTGCTATGTTGCCTACACTGGTTTTAAACTGCTGGCCTCAGGCAATCTTCCTCCCTTGGCCATTCAAAGTGCTGGGATTACAAGCATGAGCCACTGTGCAGCTGAGATTTTTTGATTTAGTCTTTTTGTACATGGGATATTTTATTCATAGAATCCATAAATGGTAGGGAAATTTCTGAGTTCAGAGCAATACATATGATACAAAACTTGATATACAGACTAGTTTCTTAGCCGAACTGGAGGGGCTGGCTTTAGGTAATCCATGGACTCCCTGAAATTGGGGACACCATTGGAAACATGTGTGAGCTCAAAGGCAGTTTCCTATGATTTTCAGGCCTCAAAATGTCTCTTGGACTCAAAGATGCCTTAGGGCAGAGGACGTATGTACCCCCAGTATAGAATCTCAGACAGCGAAAGTCAGTAAACATTCGGCAGAAAAGTGACAAATTGAGTGCTCTGATGTGACTTTTTCATCAAGTCAATGTTCTTGGGATCTCTTGTACATGATAATCTCACTCTTGTAAAGTTTCATAGTTTCTGCTTACCCTAGTTTTCTTTCCCACCCTGTTCCCTCTCCTACCAGACTGGTCTCTGAAATGGGCATGTACAGAGGAGACCCCAACATGCTTTGCGTGGAGAGGACACAGCCTCTGCTGGGACAGGGAACAGAGGGATGCAGAGACCCTGATGATGCTTTTGGACAGTGGTCTGAGGTTGGGACAGTGGCAGGAGGTACCATCCATTCACCCAGGATCTCCAGGACAAGAGATCAGCTTGGCAGTTACATGTGTTTTTCTTCAAACTGGTTGCCAGGTTGGAATGACCGATGACATCAGAGATTCCAACCTTCCTGATTGGAAGGACCGGCCTCCGTTGGCGCCTGGGAGCTCAGGTGGACAACAGCATCTTCTCAGAGCTGTTCTCCACTCCTGACTTCTCCTAGCCTCAAGAATTGATAATACACTCTTCCGGGTCCTAGCAGAGTCCAGAAGGCGGCTTTGGACAGAACAGAGACTAGGTTCCGTGGGTTGGGACAGATTTTGGAAAGATCATGACCAGTTGTCAACCGCACCCCCAGGATGAGGAGCAGAGCCCCCAGCTGAGCACCTCGGGGTACCCCCGCCAGGAGGTGGTAGATAATGAAGTGTCAGGACCATCAGGTGAGGTGACTGGAGGAAGAAGAGGTGGGATAGGGTTGACTAAGATGAAGGAAGGGGGCTGGGTGCAGTGGCTCACACCTGTAACCCCAACATTTTGGGAGGCTGAGGCGGGCGGATCACCTGAGGTCAGGAGTTCAAGACCAGCCTGGCCAACATGGTGAAACCTCATCTCTACTGAAAGTACAAAAATTAGCCAGGCGGTAGTGGTGCACGCCTGTAATCCCAGCCACTTGGGAGGCTGAGACAGGAGAATCGCTTGAGCCTGGGAGGAAGAGGTTGCAGTGACCCGAGATTGCGCTACTGCACTCCAGTCTGGGTGAGAGAGTTGGACACTGTCTCCAAAAAAAAAAGAAGGGTCAGAGGTCAGGAAGGAGAACCTGAGGAGGGTGTGTGGGAAGAATGGAGAAATTCAGGCCAGGTGCAGTGGCTCACACCTGTAATCCCAGCACTTTGGGAGGCCCAAGGCAAGCGGATCACTTGAGGCCAGGAGTTTGAGACCAGCCTGGCCAAAATGGTGAAACCCCATCTCTACTAAAAGTACAAAAATGGGCATTATGGCAGGCACCTGTAATCTCAGCTACCTGAGAGGCTGAGGCAGGAGAATAACTGGACTCCGGGAGATAGATGTTGCAGTGAGCTGAGATTGCACCACTACACTCCAGCCTGGGTGACAAAGCAAGATTCTGTCTGAAAACAAAAAACACAACAAAACAAAAACAAAAAACAAAGGAGGGACTCAGAGAGCCAGGGATCAGGGAAGGACATGAGGAAGTGTTCTGAGGACACAGAGTCGGAATAATGGGGAGGGGAAGGAGCAGGACATGGGGTTGAGCAGAGGAGAAAGTCAGAAAGATGCCTTGGAGAAGCTAACAGTCTCTGAGGCTGGGGAGGATGGAGAGTGGTTTGGGGTTTGGGGTCAGGGTCTAAGGTGATCAGTTGCAGAAGCATTACACGGTGGCCTGGTTTCTTCACTCAGCCTCTGGGGTAGATCCCAGCCCCCCATGTAGGTCCCTTTGCTGGAAAAGGAAGAGGGAGTGGTCGGACAAATCTGAGGAGTCATCGGAGGAGGAGCCAGAGAAGGAGCTCGCCCATGAGCCTGAGGAGACCTGGGTGGTGGAGATGCTGTGTGGGCTCAAGATGAAGCTGAAGTTGAAGCTGAAGCAACAGCTAGTGTCGTCCGTGCTCCCTGAGCACCACGAGGACTTCAACAGGCTGCTTGGTAGGAGGACACCCCAGAGAGCACCTCCAATCCTGTTCTTCTAAAAAAGAGGCAACTTCCAATAACCACACTTTTCCAATGGGAAAAATATGCCCCCAGTGGGTGAGCTCTCCATGTGGGAGGACTCAGAATTGATCACTCATGAGGGACGCTTAGGAGATGATAGAGGATTAGGCTGGACTTGATAAAGGTTGGCGCTTGGGACAAGAAAGCTTAGTTTTGGGCTGGGCGCTGTGGCTCACGCCTGTAATCCCAGCACTTTGGGAAGCCGAGGTGGGAGGATTATAAGGTCAGGAGATCAAGACCATCCTGGCTAACATGGTGAAACCCAGTCTCTACTAAAAATACAAAAAATTAGCCGGGCATGGTGGCGGGTGCCTGTAGTCCCAGCTACTCGGGAGGCTGAGGCAGGAGAATGGCATGAACCCCGGAGGTGTTGCTTGCAGTGAGCCGAGATTGCATCACTGCACTCTAGCCTGGGTGACAGAGCGAGACTCTGTCTCAAAACAACAACAACAACAACAACAAAAAAGAGAAAGTTTGGTTTTGGGCCAGGTGTGGTGGCTGATGCCTGAGATCCCAGCACACTGGGAGGCTGAGGCAAGAGGATTGCTTGAACTCAGGACTTTGAGGCTGCAGTGAGCTATGACTGCACCACTGCACTCCAGCCTGCATGACAGAGCAAAACCCTGTTTCAAAAGAAAACCAAAGGCCGGGTGCGGTAGCTCACGCCTGTAATCCCAGCATTTTGGGAGGCTGAGGCGGGTGGATCACCTGAGGTCAGTTGTTCGAGACCAGCCTGACCAATATAGAGAAAACTCGTCAATACCAAAAATACAAAACTTAGCCGGGCGTGGTGGTGCACGCCTGTATTCCCAGCTACTTGGGAGGCTGAGACAGGATAATCACTAGAACCCGGGAGGTGGAGGTTGCTTTGAGCCAAGATAGCATCACTGCACTCCAGTCTGAGGGAGAGATTGAGACCCTGTGGCAAAAAAAAAAAAAGAAAAGGACAGGTCCAGAAGTCAGGAAGGAGCACCTGAGGAGGTGTGTGGGAAGAATGGAGGGACTGAGGCAGGGTGCTGTGGCTCACACCTGTAATCCCAGTACTTTGGGAGGCCAAGGCAGGCAGATCACTTGAGGCCAGGAGTTAGAGACCAGCCTGGCCAACATAGCGAAACCCTGTCTCTACTAAAAGTACAAAAATGAGCTGGGCGTTATGACAAGCACCTGTAATCCCAGCTACTTGGGAGGCTGAGGCAGGAGAGTCACTGGAACCTGGGAGACGGAGGTTACAGTGAGGAGAAGCCAGCAGTCTGTAAGGCTGGGGAGGATGAAGAGTGGTCTGGCGTTTTGGAGGGGGGAAGGAGCGGCTCATGGGGTTCAGCGAAGGAGAAAGACGGAAAGATGCCTTGGAGAAGCCAGCAGTCTGGGGGCTGGGGAGGATGGAGAGTGGTTTGGCATTTTGGGTCAGGCTCTAAGGTGATCAATTGCAGAAGCATTACACAGTGGCATGGTTTCTTTACTCAGCCCCTGGGGTAGATCCTAGTCCCCCGCGTAGGTTCCTTTGCTGGAAAAGGAAGAGGGAGTGGTCGGACGAATCTGAGGAGTCATCGGAGGAGGAGCCAGAGAAGGAGCTCGCCCCTGAGCCTGAGGAGACCTGGGCGGCGGAGACGCTGTGTGGGCTCAAGATGAAGCTGAAGCGACAGCGAGTGTCATGCGTGCTCCCTGAGCACCACGAGACTTTCAACAGGCTGCTTGGTAGGAGGACACCCCAGAGAGCACCTCCAGTCCTGATATTCTAAAAAAGAGGCAACTTCCAATAACCACACTTTTCCAATGGGAAAAATATGCCCCCAGTGGGTGAGCTCTCCATGCGGGAGGACTCAGAAGTGATCACTCATAAGGGACGCTTAGGAGACAATAGAAGATTAGGATTAGGTCAGTGCTTGGGATAAGAAATCTTGGTTTTGGGCCAAGTGCGGTGGCTCACGCCTGAGATCCCACCATGTTGGGAGGCTGAGGCAAGAGGATTGCTTGAACTCAGGACTTTGAGGTTGCAGTGAGCTATGATGGCACCACTGCACTCCAGCCTGGGTGACAGAGCAAAACTCTGTCTCAAAAGAAAAAGCAAGGCCGGGCGCAGTAGCTCATACCTGTAATCCTAGCACTTTGGGAGGCCGAGGCTGGTGGATCACCTGAGGTCAGGAGTTAGAGACCAGCCTGACCAACATAGTAAAACCTGATCTCTACTAAAAATACAAAATTAGCTAGGCGTGGTAGCACACGCTTGTAATCCCAGCTACTCAGGGGACTGAGATGGGAGAATCGCTTGAACCCGGGAGGCTGAGGTTGCAGTGAGCTGAGATCGTGCCACTGCATTCCAGCCTGGCCCACAGAGCGAGACTCCAGCTCAAAAAAAAAAAAACAAAAAATAAATTTATAAAACAAAATCAAAAATCAAAGAAAGTGGCTTCAGCTGTGCCCTCTAAAACTTATTGTCTCTTGCTGACTTTTCTAAACCTAAGTGTCTCCATCTGTAGAGGGGGATACCTAGGCCATGGTCACACCCTGATGTGACTGTCTCATGAGGAAATGATGGGAATTCCTTTATGACTGTGCAGTGGTCCCTCTGTGTCTGCTGGGAGGGCGTTCTGGCTTATTGCCAGCTCTACATCCTGTAGATTCTCACACCCAAGGCCTCCTTCGGCCTCTTCTCAGGCGAGTCTCAGAGCAGGAGCCTCTCTCCCTTGCCCAGTGAAAGTCATTCTCCCCTCTCCCATCCACCTCACTTGTGGCAGCAATCCTGAGATTTCCCTTAGGGAGACACACTTCTCCTTGCTGCCCTGCTGCTCCCACAGAAACCCTGTCCTGTTTCTCATGCTGACATCTGCTCTCTAATCACAGAGGATCCTGTCATTAAAAGATTCCTGGCCTGGGACAAAGATCTGAGGGTGTCCGACAAGGTAAGGTTGTTCTCCACAAAACTGTGTTCCTGCTTCAATGCACTGCCGGGGGGAGGGCGCAGCTTCCAAACCCACAGTTCCTCTCCTCTCTCCCTCCAGCACTTCCCACCGGATGCTCCCACAGTCTTTTTCTTTTCTTTCTGTGAGACAGTCTCGCTCTGTTGCCCTGGCTGGAGGCAGTGTCTCAAACTTGGCTCACTGCAGCAGACGCCTCCTGGGTTCAAGGCATTCTCCTGCCTCAGTCTTCCAAGCAGCTGGGATTACAATTAACCATGGCTGGCTAATTTTTGTGTTTTTAGTAGAGACGAGGTTTTGCCATGTTGACCTGGTTGGTCTTGAACACCTGACCTCAGGTGTTCCGCTCGCCTTGGCCTCCCAAAATGCTGGGATTACAGAAGTGAGCCACTGTGCCCCTCCAGCTCCCACAGTCTTGAGTCTTGGTGCCCACTTTTTTTTTTTTTTTTTTTTTGAGACAGTATCCAGCTGTGTTCCCCAGGATGGAGTAGAGTGGCATGATCGCAGCTCACTGCAGCCTCTAATTCCTGGGCTCATGCAATCCTCCTGCCTCAGCCTTCTGAGTAGCTGGGAGTACAGGCACATGCCATCATGCTTGAATAATTTTATACAAATGGTCTTGCTAAGTTGCCCAGGTTGTTCTCGAACTGTTGGGCTCATGTGATCCTCCTGTCTCAGCCTCTCAAACTACTGGAATCACAGGCTTGAGCTGCCACTCCCAGCTATTCTTGGTCATTTTTTTAAATTTTGAGACGGAGTCTCGCTCTGTCGCCCAGGCTGGAGTGCAGTGGCGCAATCTCTGCTCATTGCAAGCTCTGCCTCCCGGGTTCACGCCATTCTCCTGCCTCGACCTCCCCAGCAGCTGGGACTGTAGGCGCCCGCCACCACGCCCAGCTAATTTTTTGTGTTTTTAGTAGAGACGGGGTTTCACTGCGTAAGCCAAGATGGTCGAGATCTCCTGACCTTGTGATCCGCCCGCCTCGGCCTCCCAAAGTGCTGGGATTACAGGCGTGAGCCACCGCGCCCCGCTATTCTTGGTCTTTTTATGATTTGTCAGCATCTCCCTCAGGACACTGCTGGTCTCTTGCCGAGTGAATGAGTGGCCCCTGCCTCTCCTACAGGTCGTTTGGCAGTCAGGCCGCAGCCCTGAAGCTCCTGGCCCCTCTACTCTCAGCTCTTTGGGACAGTTCTCTGCCTGGCACACAAAAGACCCTCCTGACACCAGCCGACCTAGACACACCCGTTAAAAGATCCCATTGGAGCCCACCATCCTGGGAGCATCACCGACATCCCTTCCTCCGGTGATGGGAGGAATACTCCTCCACCCTGCAATTTCCACATGAGCACAGTCACGCCAACACTGAGGTCCCTTCTCTGATGGGCAGCCCCTCCCCACACCCCCATTCCACTATCTCCACGATCTTCCTCTCTCAAGATGTGACCTCTCCCTCTCTCTGTTTCTTTCTCTCCACCAGTATCTCCTGGCTATGGTCATAGCATATTTTAGCCGTGCTGGCCTCTTCTCCTGGCAATACCAACGCATTCATTTCTTCCTGGCTCTGTGAGTGGTTTGCTTCCTCCTATCCATCAATATCCAATGCCCTGGGACAGCAGGGAAAGTGGGATTCCAGCCTTTCATTTATTCTTTCACCTATTTGTCCTCTTTACTCTGTGTACAGAAAAGAGAGGATTATACTATCTTGTTCTTAGACTGTTGTTTCTAAAAAGAAACTCAGCCTAGACGCGGTGGCTCATGCCTGTAATCCCAGCACTTTGGGAGGCTGAGGCAAACGGATCACTTGAGGTCAGGAGTTCGAGACTAGCCTGGCCAACATGGCGAAACCCTGTCTCTACTAAAAATAGAAAAATTAGCTGGGCATGGTGGTGTGCACCTGTAATCCAAGCTACTTGGGAGGCTGAGGCAAGAGAACCCCTTGAACCCAGGAGGCAGAGGTTGCAATGAGCTAAGATTGAGCCACTGCACTCCAGCCTGGGCAATAGAGCGAGACTTTTTCTCAAAAAAAAAAGAAAGCCAAAAAAACAAATTCCAATGCCAGTGTACAAATAAAAGAATAAAACAAAAGGAACCATCAACCGCTAAGGGGAGAAGAAAAGGAGCAGAGGAGTGGACACGACATTCCCCCCAGCAAGCAGACGTTTCTGGTTCTTCTCTCTCTTTCCTTCCATCAACTGCAAATGCCATCGACCTCCTCGAGGTTCCCATGACAGAGGCCACAGTTCAGGTCCCTCTTGCATCACTCTAATCCACTGTCAAATGCTCCCTGCTGGGATCTCCTGGAGTCTCTCTCCAAGCCTTGGGGCTTCCTAGTGCAGCCTGAGCATCTTTCCAAAGCACAACGCCCTCACTGCCCACCTGAACAACTTCCTTAGCTGATGTCTTTCAAAATCGAGGCCAGGGTCCACAGTGCAAATTCCACCCTCTCTACAATCTCTACAGCCAAACTGGCTCGCCATCTTGGTGTTTCCTGGCGTGGCTTCACCGCTCCTTCCAAATGCCCTCTACTCGACTTTGCATTTGTGTTTTCTGTCTGGGTGTTCCACACCCATGTGGTTCTGAAGTGAAGGACCCATTCCTTAAAGTCAGTTCACCCCACGGCCTCTGTGATGCCTTCCTTCATCTTCCAACTTTTGCATGCTCGTAGCTCTCCAGTTACATCCTATTACCATGTGACATTGGGATTAGGTCATCTGCCCTGATTACTCCCAGTCCCATTAGACTAGATGCCTGTAGAAGGCAGGGTTTGGCAAAATATCAATGTATTCAATTTATTTTACTTTTTTAGACAGACTTGCTCTGTCCCCCAAGCTGGAGTGCAGTGGTGAGATCATAGCTCACTGCAGCCTCCATATCCTGTACTCAAGTGATCCTACCACCTCAGCCTCCAGATTAGCTTTGACCACAGGTCTGTGCCACCACACCTGGACAGTTATTTATTTATTTATTTATTTATTTATTGATACAGAGACTTGCTCTGCCTATTAGGCTAGAATGGTGTGGCCCAATCTTGGCTCACTGTAACCTCCCCCTCCTGGGTTCATGTAATTCTTGTGCCTCAGCCTTTTGCATAGCTAGGACTAAAGGGTGCCTGTGCCACCACACCAGGCTGATTTTTGTATTTTTAGTAGGGATGGGGTTTCACCGTGTTGACCAGGCTGGTGTCGAACTCCTGGCCTCAAGTGATCCACCTGGTTCAGCCTCCCAAAGTGCTGGGATTACAGGCATGAGTCACCACGTCCAGCGTGTTTTTTACATTTTTTATAGAGACGAGGGTCTTGCTATGTTGCCCAGGTTCATCTCAAACTCCTGGCCTCAAATGATCCTGCTTCAGCCTCCCAATGTACTGGGATTCCAGGAGTAAGCCACCACTCTTGGCCACCAGTTGGGTTTTTGTCTCCATCCTGAAGGAGTGGGAGATGCCCTTCAGCAGGTCTCTGTCCATCAGCGCCCTCCTGAGGAAGGCATGGCTCTGCAGGGTGGGTGCCAGTCCTGAGCTGAGGGCAGTCCCCTCAGCCGGCGGTCTCTCCTGGTGGTGCCCCTGAGCAGCAACCTGATTTCTGTCCCCAGCTACCTGGCCAATGACATGGAGGAGGACAACGAGGCCTCCAAACGAAACATCTTCTACTTCCTGTACGGGAAGAACCGATCCCAGATACCCTTGTTCCATAAGCTTCGGTTCCAGTTCTTCTGTTCCATGCGCTGCAGGGCTTGGGTTTCCCTGGAGGAGTTGGAGGAGGTGGGTGGGGCGTGGGGAGGTGGAGGAGGTAGGGAGGAATCGGGTGGGCTGGAGGCTGGAAGCGGGGGGAGGGGTATCCTGGGGAGTCCCCATCTTCTTAAGGGGCATTTGTTTTTCCAGATCCAGGCTTATGACCCAGAGCACTGGGTGTGGGCACGAGATCGCGCCCGCCTTTCCTAGAGCACCAGGGAACATGGAGGCCTGAGGTCATCGGCCTGAGGGAAGGTACATCTGCATCCTTCAGGGTAAAGGCAGAATATTGGGGTCTATTTCGGAAATCCAAGGAACCCAATTGCTTGATCCGGCTTCGAGCCTGGGCAACATGGCGGGATTCCCTCTCCACAAAAATACAAAAATTAGTCAGGCGATGTCGGAGGATCACTGGAGCCTGGGAGGTCGGGGCTGCACGGAGCCCTGATCCTGCCACTGCACTCCAGCCCAGGCAACAGAGTGAGACCCTGACTCAAAAATAATCATAAATACTGAGTTTGGGGAGGTTCATTATGATTGACGCACTTGAGTTACCGATTTGGGTCGAGGGTTCAGTGAAGCTTAGGTTTACATCTTACGCAGCTAACCATGGTGAGCAGAGCATGAGACTTCATCATGAGGAGGTAGGATTATGGATTAGGCTTCTGGACTCGGGGTTCGTGATGTTGTCACATTAGAAATGGATCTAGCGTGGTTACAAGTTTAGCTCTTAAGTGACACAAAAGGCCCCAGCTGTGATGAAGTCCAAAGCCACACTCTCTGAGGGTGCCCAACTCCCTGGGGAGACCCACCCAAAGTCCTTGCTATGAAGCAGATCACTGGGACTGACCTTGGGTGTATTAAATGAGTTTTGGAATCAGGGTCACCAAAGTGTGAGTTTCACAGTTGAACACGATGGTTCAGAAGCAGGCTACAGAATGAAGGACAGATGATAAAATTGGATTTCTCAATGGCTCTGAACTCTTGTTAGACTTGACGTGGGACGTGAATAACCTTCCTGTCTAGAGAGCTGCCTCCTTGAAGTGTGACATCCTCTTACTTCCAGAACACCGGGCCCAGGGGAGATGCGGATTTTCAGCAGGAACTTTATTCCAATGCTAATGGCAGACACCAGGAAGGAGGAGAGGAGCCATTTGTGCAGATCATCTAGAAGAACCTGGACTGTTCTAGATGGAGCTGAATAGAGTGATCACCGTTGTCCTCCTAGGACAAAGCGGGTACTTCTAGGAATCCACAGAGAACAGTGAGAAACCAGGGGTGTTCCTGGTTCCACCCCTTCCTGCAGCACCACCTCTCTTTTTTTATATTGCTGAATTCCAACCTCCCCGGGGCGGAACCTGGAGGTCTTGTTTCCTATGGACTTGGTTGCCACAGTCCAGGAGCATTTGAAGGCACAGTGCAGACACTCAGATTGGCACAGAATTCTTTGTAAAATATGAGTGCCATAGACTGTAACAGATAGCTTCATGCACACTATGCATTTATTGGTTTGTTTGGAAAATGTTGTCCATCAAATTATTAATAGGTTTATTTCAAATAGTTTGGAAATTGTTGTACTTTTGAAAATATGCTGTTCCTGTAGATTTTTTGATGAGAGTTATAGCTGTTTTATATATATATAATTTTCTTTTCATCTTAAGAGAGAATCCTTTTTATCCTAAATCTTTTATTATCTTTAAATTGTTTTCTGTATTATTATATGTGCCTCTAAAGCAAGTATACTTTTTATCTAGGATACTTACATAATAATCCCTTCTATTTATAGCTATTGGTAGTTCTCCTAAGTTCCTGTCACAGAAATTTTTATTTGCTGTTTAGATTTGTGACTGAATTGTGAGAATTCAGTTGTGATTTTTAACATGTCTTAGATATATACTAACA